GAGATAGATTCTCTCCGAGTTCTTTAGCAATCTTGATGCTCTGGCCCTGTTTGTAGCCTTACATAATGGAAGCATCTTGTTTGAATCGACCGCTGTCTTTCTTGTGTATATCAATCATATATTGCTGAAATTCTCTTATGTTCTTGCTTTCTTTCTTATAGATCTTGAGAATGAACATTTCTTTAATTCTATCGATTTACACAACCTTCTGATAACCAAGAGGTATGAAAAGATGAATCTAATGAAGATATGTTTTTACTAATGATTAGGAAAGTTAGCTGAACATTAGGAAACTTTTTTGATACAGTTGTATGACTTTGTATCTAACAACAAACACTTGATACCATATCTCCCATTTACACTATAAAGGAAGTTGACCCCATTATCAAGTACAGTGTCTAAGCCTTTGAAGGTCAAAAGGCTTATAACAAAGATTTACAAGTATAATCCTACTAATTATCATATATAAACACTACTCCATTGTAACTTCGATATCTGGGACAAGGAACTAGAATCATTCTTTACATTTCAGCAGTCACAGATAATCTGCAATACAATCGATCCCCAATCTGTAATCATTCTTAGTTGTTTACAATAAAACGGGATAGACAGATTAGACGGGTAATATGTTTATATTTGGTTGAGAAATATAAATCAGTATCAGAATCTTATGTTGGGTATACACTCAGTATATAACACATTAAAATTCCAGTCATTTTTGTTGTCAAGCCATATAAAAAATAATTACAACAACTTTATAAATATCAAATCCCATGCTAGATTATATTCAATTGTTTTATTAATTCTACAAGATTTATCTGATAATGATGTGGTGTTGCAGTAAGCAGAAGGCGACATTAACCTTGCTTGATATCTAATTTGGCCTTGCCGGGGCCAGGGGTAAATTATGACTTGCTTGGAAGGAGAATAATGAGGGTGTGTTGCAAGGCCATGAGCCAGCGCGATAGTGGGATGTAATGGTTGCGTTACCCTGCCCATAAGCAAATTATGCATCATGTTCGGTCGCCAATTATCATTCCCTTTCACAGGATTTTCCTCATCATATCAACTAGAGTTACTATAGCTTGATTCGAGAACTACCTCCAATAATGTATAGTTTTCATTATATAAACTGGTTGATTCTTATCAATTTTCTCTACATATCTTGTCAATTCTTTTTACATTCTTAGCATCAAAGTCTCTTGATTATACTTTCCATCTACTATAGTCAAAATACTCCTCAAACCACCCCCTTGCAGGCTTTCCCAAGTCACTTCCTTTCAGCCTTCTCGAAAACACTCCCTCTCAGTTATTTTCGAAACCATTCTTTCAGGCCTTCTCAGCCTATCGCAACCCCTTTCAATAGGTAGAACTATCACAATACCTTCTAGTTTTGATTTTTGCTTACCTTTTGAACCAGTCGATATTACTCTTCATATATATATATATCTCCTTTTCTATTTTATACAAGGCAAAGTACGCTCCCAAAAGTTTGATGATAATATGTTTATTGATAAAATCCAGATGTCTTTCGAACCTTGTGGACTTATCACAACTTATGCTTTGTACAGCGCTTACCTTCAAGCCTCAAAGCCAGAATTGCGAGAGACGGCTATTGTTCCATTTTGGGAAGATATTCTCAACAGTGAATTTAAGCAATATAATAATATTGTTGTGAATTCCCAATAATCATTGAATGATTCAATCAGATCTACAGATGTGGTGGTTAGATCTTATGATCAGGAATTCAAGCCTATTTTGTTCCTGATAATGGAATGTAAACGCTATAGTAAAACACATCGAGGGATTGATGATATGGAATTACAGCTTGACCTATATGTTCAAGACTATTTTTCAGAGTTTGGTAAATCAGAGGGGCGAACCGTTGTATTTGGCGCAGTTGCGTTTGGAACCAAGATTCGAGCTTGGCGTTTCACTTGCGAAACTCCTACATCATTCATTTCGATTCCTTTGATGGATGGCAAGACAGGGATAGCGGATCTTCAATCCTACAGAGACCCTTACATTCCTGCAGAAGCTAATCAGATCCGAGAATTCCTTAAGCTGGTGATAACACCTGAGCTTAATTCAACTTCACAGATGGCATACCCCACCGGATCATCCTCATCGACTACAAACACCAACATGCCTCATTCAACCGAAGGGTTGTAAATGGCGAATGGTGGATACAAATAAACAAGTTACATATGCTTGATATGGATGGGAGTTGTTGAGGAGATGAAGTCTTCTTCTGATTCTCGAGCCAGGGCTTCATGGGATGAGATGATGTGATACTTTTTCTCGGGCTCCTTAACATAGGTTTTCCACCTTTGTTTGTGGTTTTCCCTATGCTCTAGTGCAAATGCAAAGGAGATATTGTTCAATCACTGATGTAAATAATAACCCTTATGTGTTCACTCTAAGTGCTTGCTGTGGCATCGCTTCAAATTAACAAATTGTGATGATCCTAATTGAAATTTTAATCTACAATGCCAAAACATTCAATAGCAAGGCCGCCGTAGAACCAAAAATAGCAGCCTTGTATAAACTGCCCTTGCGATGGCTGGAAACTTTTGTACATATCTGTAGACTCTGGGCCTCCTAGTGCACCAAAATATTGGGATCGACCTAAGGTAGTATGGATCTATAAAACTGTTATTTTTGTTTCTATAAAATAAAAATAGAAAATATAACATACCGTAAGATATAATCCAGGGAAATCCCATACCCAGATTTTATCAATTCTCTCCTTATAAGCTTCAATCGGAAAATATATTGATGAATCATCATCAAACGGTTTTCCAATAGATTGCAACCTTGTCTTCGAATGCACACGAATACCAACAATCCCAACACCACATTCCAATCTCACAGATATCGCAAACATATCCTCATCAAAGAATACCGATTCCGTTGATACCTCATGTTTTCTATGAGAAGATATTCTAATATTGTTTCGACTTACATAGTGCTCTAGCGATAATGCTCCTATTCGAAAGGGCTTCATAATGATAGTTTCTGGGAAGGGTAAGGTTATATTCGAGTTATACTGCCAGTAAATTTGTCGGAACTTCAAAGCCTGAGGGAATTAGCAATTGTTTAAAGGAACTGAAACATAGAAGCTTACATCTGTAAAAACAACTAGTTGATTATTCGAATCATTATCGATACTAATGCCTTCGAACCAATTCAAAATGGAAGGAACTCCAGATGACCATTCAGACTCGCCGAATTTAAGACTGCGTATACCCAAAGAATCAACAACGAAACCGAGGTTGGATATTTGGTTTGCTCGAAAGTAGATGTGGTATGAAATACCATGGCAGACTCCAATGGATATCTGAGCACTAGATGGAATACCTTCTAGACCAGATACATATTTTTGACCGTGTATTGAAATTAAATACACTTTAAATCCAGTAAGTGTATTAGGTATATGTGTTGTAATTTTTCGAGGTCCAAGTGGGAAATGATGCTTTTGAGGCAAATTATCCATCGGTTTAGGAGGGATCCAGAAAGACAAAGAGTATGATGGATATCGAGCTTTTAACATAGATGCTAAATGGTCCAGTATTCGTATCCATGATAATAACCCATCCATAGCAATGTAATCATCGTCATCAAATCTACGATGAGCAAAGATTACTATATCTTGTATCGTTATCGACTGTTTCAAGATTGAATTCGTATACGAGAGAAGAAGTTGCCAAGGAGAATATTGTGTAGATAGTGATAATGCAAATCGATTAGAGATGAAATAGCTGAATAGCGATTTTGAGTCAAGATAGTATAAAATCATCCATATTATTTCCAACGGTAATTTATCGAATTTGGATTCGTGATTGAGATTTGGATTATTTTCCGATGGTGGTAATGCTTTGAATATCAGGGTAGATAGGTCGAAATTGGCTATAATATAGTTAGAAATTGTCTTCTATAAAGGATTTAGTAACTTCACCTTGAGATTGATTCTTATATCTTGATAAACTCTCCTTTCTCATCCAATCCTCTGTCAAAGCTTGACAAAACGCAAATAGAACTTTAGGTGGTATATCCATCTTTAGTATGTTTTGCAAAGTTTGTAGACAAACATCGTGAACGAGAAAGCAATTAAAACTGCCAGGAATAATATTTCGTTGACAATGAACCTTGATCTCCTGATGATTGGAATTTCTAGAGCTTGTATAAGGAAATATTATAAGGCAGAAACCCATGGGAGAAGAGGTATATGTTGGATGAGTGAGAACCATATCCTCATCTTGAGTTCGCAGTACTATAGATGTAATTGTTCAGTAAATTTATAACCCTGAACTATTAACGAAGATATTAACTCACCAGCACGAAATGATGTCGTCCATTGTATTTCACCACAACCATAACCACACAAGGAGCATTGTAAATGAGCTTGGTGCATCGTTTGGTAAGAAAATACCTTATCGAAACTGGTGATAAGATAGTTGGAAAGAAATTGAAAGGAATTACAATAAATTTGAAGAAAGAAGATTCCTTTTGAATGGCGACTTAGCTTTCTCGGATACTTGCATAAATTACAGTTGAACAAACAAAAGATTTTACTACACTGTAGAACTACAAACTAGCAGCTGCCCTCATCAAAATCAGCAACGATAATATTTTATTAAAATTATGCCATATAGGGTGTAATAGTCATTGGTAAAGGGAGATGGGAGGTTGAAATACTAGCTTTTGCATTATAGTTGACTAAGGATTGAAGATCTACTACAAGCTCTGAGGAAGGTAGTAGTAGTAGTAGTATTAATTTACATCAGGAGAGCAGCTTGTGGCTGCCCTCAGAACCTCCCTAGGGGTATGCTGATGTTCTAAGCTATGGTCTTACGATACATGAAATGAGAGTGCCTTAGAAAGAAAAGTGAAAGCCTTACGGCCATTCCCGGTAATCGTGTGTTACCTTCCAATTTGTGCATTCTCTCCTCCGCCGGTTGAGGTGGTCCTGCTGTTTGTTTTTGCCAGGTGTAGGCGGTTGTGCTCATGTTGTGGGCTTGCCGTCGCGTGAGCTGGGCGGTTCAGTGGGCTACTTTTTGGTGTAGCGATCAACCCCCCTTAATTCCTTCAATCGGCCAATCAGAATCCTTCTCCCCTTGCCCATTCCATTTCTAGCCTCCTGCATGGCTCGTGAGGGGCTCAGTGAGACGAGCGAATCAGGCTCCTCGGAACTAGAAATGGTGATCTCCACAAAGCGAATCCGATTGGTTGATTAACGTCGTTTCAAGGTTGTTGATTGGTTGGCTGTGTGGATCCGCAAGGGACCCATGAATTTTTGAAAATTCGAAGTCGAGGGCTATACCATTAAGCCACGTAGCAGTTTAAAGACGTGCAATTGTCGCTCTGAGGAAGGTAAACCTTCGGTTTATCCCACATCTTAGATTGAGTGCCTCAGGCCATAATTATTACAACTTAGCGGTGAAATTAAACTCGCAATAACTTCAACAGGTAATCATGATATGATCTTAATAGAAAAATTCAATCGTAGCGTCCTATATCGTGTTTTATATCTCTTGACAACAGGAGTGGCTGAAATTTTAGTGCACGGCATCTGTACAGGGCAGATGTAGGGGTTTTCAGGCTCCGATGGTTTTCGACCTGCAGGCTGTAAAAGATGAATCAAAATTTCATTACACCAAGAAGATGTATAATTAAAGAGTGTGTACCCAACATGAGATTGGTTTGAGCTCAGATTAAAAAAATGATCGTGTTCTAAGACATTCCAGCTTAATTGCACTAGCGGTCTTTTTGGTCACTATTATACGATTGAGTAAATCGCGTGAGCATAACAACTAACTCTGCTAAACTCAGCCTAAACTCAGCCTAACCCCACCAAATCTTTACCTTTATTTATATCTTGATAACATTGCATTTTTTCCCCTCTTTCATATTGATTTATTCCTTCCTTAAACCTTCAACTTTTCGCATCAACTTTATTTTATTATTCCGTAGAGTGGTATGCATTCCTCCTTTGCATATATCTGCCAATATTGCTAATCGTGTAGTAGTCAAACCGAACAACCCCACTTCGAGAAACGCACCAAAATTCGATCTTGATCTTCCTCATCTATCTACAATTTAGGAAGAGTACATAGGGTAAGCCGCATCCATAGTTATATTTCTGTCATTATCGCTGATCAGTATACAGTTCATCACAAAACGCGACCTTTCTATTTATTCCAAATAATTTCCCTCATCTGCGATAACATTCTACTTGCGACGTCTTTCTATTGTTCCGCCACACAAATAACAATTCTTCAACTAGCTGGCACTTCTATAATTAAACACAACAAGCCATCATATCTTAAGGTAAGAATTTCCTCCGCCATTATAAATACAGAATTCTGGTTAACATGTTTGCCACAATTTCAGTCAACCACTTATCTGCAATCATGCCTATAATTGAGGAAAAAAATGATTTCCCACTTTGGTATATCCCAGTAAGCGACCAGGAACGAGAGATTGTGTTTCAAGGATATTGGATTATCATCGCCAATCCGGAAGATTCAAAGAATCCCATAGTCAATAAGAGATGTGATACAACTGAAGAAACATTTATAATTCCCAAGGGATTTAAATGTATGCTTCATGGTCATGGAGTTATGGCTAGATTATCTACCACAACTTGAAATAATACAATCCTGCTTCATTCCAAACAAATTTGCCAATTCGGAACCTGATTTCTGATCTACCATAATAAAAAATGTGATCTTGTTATCATCTGTACCACTACCACCAGAGGCAAATGCACTGACACAAGTAGAACGAGGTCCTGTCTCCAATCTGTATCTCCGGCTGAGAGTCGAACGTTTACTAAACAAGTCTCCTAAAATCCATAGTTTTTCCTTTGGCATATTAGAATAAAGCTGAATAAGGCTTGGAGAATGACCTTGTGGTTGTTTTTGTAAATCCAAGGTTTCGATAATTTTGTATGCAGCCTCATCATTATTAACAATGATTGAGATTCTAACATCTTCATCAATATTGTAAGGGAACATTGCACGAATACATTCCGGGTGGTATTCAGCTATCACAGGAGTAGGAAACGGTTCCTGAAGATTGCTAGCCAGCTTCTCTTTCTGTGCATAACTATATATGAACTCGAGTTCTAGATTGATTATTGTTAGCATCGACTTTAAAGATATACATATGTTCAGACTTGCCTAAAGGCTCATTGTTACGAGAATCTTGCGTCTGAGATACCACAGTAATGTTTGCATCCCTCGAAGGCAAGTTCCCAATCGGTTTTTCTTAGCCATATGTAATTCCATTTGATGGTTGCGAAACGGATAAATCGAATTCATCGGCAAGTAAAGAACCGTGGCTTGGGTTGGTTTTAAAACGCTTTCGTTGGCTAAGCAGATCATCCGCTTCAGCTAGGGACTCTAGACCTCTCTTTTCCCTTTTGCTGCTTCCAAATTCTGCATGTTCACCAGCGGTAGAATCCTGTCCATAACCACTGAGTACCGCTCCATTGGTGATTTGAATTGGTGAGTTTCTGGCAATCGCCAACTGCTGACTCTGTGTAGACCCGGCAATGTAATCTGCTGGATTCAATAATGCATCTATCGAAATGGGGTTGCTATTGAAGTTGGCAGGATTAGCATTGATGGCAGGTTCGCGACCAGTGGTGGGTGGGTGCGGGTTGGGTAGTGGTGGTATAGCGTCCCATCGAGAGTAGTGGTCGTTCTGTTGTACTGATTTGATGGTTTGAAAGGCGGCTTCTAAGGTGGGTAGGAGCGAATATAATTTGAAGGTGCAAAGTAGTTCATTAATCGCTTGAATCTCCAATATTGACCATTTTTTCAGTTCAAAACTATATATCGAATTTAGTAACTCATTTACAGATGCTAGGAAGTTCAAGCTTACGATTGAGAATTACCTCCTAAACCTAATATGAGTCCTGCAGGTTTAATAACGCTCCATTTTTCACCAAAACGTGCCATTCGCAGTAATCTTGTTCTTTTTAGCGAAAAATCCTTTGGTGATACTTTTTGTGAATCCCATAAACGATGTGCCAAAGCATCAATTGCTTGAGATCGAAATGGTTGAGTATAATTCGCTGTAGAGAGAGTTCGTTTCTTTATCTTGGACTTTCTTAGTAATTCTTGTTCTTCTTTCTTAACAGCCTCGAAGATGATGACTAGAATAACCTTTCTTCGAATTGAATTAACCTTTGCCTCATCCTCAATTTGTTTAAATTGTTCAATGCAAAGTTTGAGAAGGCTAATCTGATTTGGTTTATGTTCATACATCAATTGCCCATAAAAGGAAGAAGGTTCAGTTGACCATTTGGATATCATCACCTTGAGATAGGAGATACCTTGCGGATCCCGATCCCATAACCGAGTGACATCCAAAATTCTGTGTATTTGATACTTCGATAGCCGTTTATTATCTGTGGAAATTATGGATTCTAATAATTGCTGAGAGGGATTGTGTGAGGAACTCTCAATGCTATTTTCGAGATGCTTATTGGTTGTATAAAGAGAAGTATTTTCAAGGAGAGCACTACGGAGGGAACGAGCGCGATCTGGAGAATGAGCGAGTTCTTTCAGTGAAAGACCGACTTCCTGAAATTAACAAGAATCAGCTGACAACTCTCAAAGTCAGGGCAATCAACCCACTGTATCACCTGTATCGTAATAAAGATTTCCCAGCTCCTCGAGCTTAGTGGCGATGGCTTCAGACATTCCGTATTTCTGGAGCGCATTTGATCAATTTAAAGAATCGATATGTTTGAATCCAGTACATACCTCACTACTATAATTAGAACCCATCTTAAAAATAAAAATAAAGGTAAAGGGATCAATGATAGCAAAGGAGATCAAGGGGTATCAGAGTTGTTCAGTAACTTTTTGACAGATCTATAGAAAACAAGTGGTTGAGAAAAAGATAATGATATGACCAAGATTTGGATTAATAGATCGTGTACAAAGAATCATATAGAACAATATTAATACATCATCCAATCATTAACATTTTTGAGAAACCATTGGTATAGTTTTAGCAGCTTTTATTGGTTAATCGTATCATCTATGTAATACAGTGGTATATAGGCTAATTTTGTCTCACCTCTTTGTTTTGCTGTCAGCCAAATAAATCCTTGCGAGCAAGAGCGGCAAAACAAAAATTAGCCCATGTAGACAGCTGTACAAATGATCTGATTTTTTCAGCTCGTGACAAAAAAACGCCCAAGTATAGGTACAGATGCCTGTTTACCAATTCTCGTTTCCTCAACTCGATGTAGAGGATACCTGATTGTGGGTAAAGGGTACCCAACTGTGGATCAAAGCTGACTCGCACCCTGCAGAATGATCAAACTCTGTTTTCAGGATTTGGATTCTTAAATACAAAAGATGGTAAATCAGAGTCTATATTACGAAAATGAGAATGTCCTGTTTCTGTTTGCAGGAACAATTTACGATAATCCGTTTTAAATCAGCGACGTTCGGGGAAACTGAAAATCGTAGACCCGAGTTACAAACAAAATATTGCGCACAAGGTTTAGTGGTATAATGTTCCTTTAGTATAGAAGAGGTCTGGCGTTCGATTCGCTATTACTCCATTGATTATAAGTGATTCAGTTCATTTGTGTGTTTATCTTTTTGGAATTTTCTTAAAGGAGGGGGGTGGAAGGGGATGCAAGGGGAGGTTTTTTTTTGGAGGGGTAATTTGTTTGATATGGAATTCGATATAATTCTTGTTACGATTCTTGTGGAGTTTGATTGATGATTTAATGTGATCTAAAAAGAAATAGAAAAATGGAGAAACATATACATAGTGAGTGTAGTGTATCTATCTAGATATTTAGTAAATCTTTTATTATGAAGGTATATACAGTATCCATCACTAATAGAGGTCTTTAGCAAAAATATCAAATAACTTCTTGTTGAAATATTCGGTTATATATGATCTTATGAATACAGTATACTTCTACCATTTTGTACACAAGTAGTAGGAGTTGTTAATATGAGATATCGATCCATTCCTTCCATCTGTCTAACAAGCTTTTATAGATTTAAATTATAAATCTACAGAGATCCAAGCTGTTTACAATTAGCTCTTTTAAACACGCTATAGTTATTGAAATATTAGCATCGGAGATATTCAAAAGGGGGAAGATTGAAAAAAGCAAATGGAACTAACCCTTTTCAAAATGAAGGAAACTCTCTTCACTTGATTATTCAGTGAGTGCTTCAGGATCTATTATATAGTATTATAAGATAGGCTGTGTAACAGGGCCCTGCAGGGCGGGTTGTTGGTCTGATGGGTAACCCATGGGTTACCCGTTAGCGGGGCGGGTTATTGGGAAATCTGAATGGGTACCCATGGGTTGGTGGGTTGGTGGGTTATTTGCAGGTTATTCGTGGGTTGGTGGGTAATCTGCAGATAATCCACGGATAACCCACGTGAAGAGGATTATTTGTGGGTAACCCACTGATTCATATATTATTCTTTAATTATTCATTTATCATTATTATTTAA